CCACAACGCAAGCAACTTCTCCTGAGTCCACTACATCTGCTCCAACTATTGGCACCAGTCCCATATCTGACGCATCTACCACTGCAGGAGACACAACTGTGACAAGAATTACACACACCACTATCCAAGCAACTACTCCTCTTGGGTCCACTACATCTGCCACAATTTCTGGTCCCACCACCACATCTGAGGCACTTACTACAGTAGAAGGAACAACAGTCACAAGTGGTACAGACACCACCTCCCATGGAACTACTACTCCTGAGTCCACCGCTTCTGCAACAACTATTGCCACTAGTCCCACACCTGACACATCTACTACTGCACGAGACACAACTGTCACAAGTGTTACGGACACCACAACCCAAGCAACTTCTCCTCCTGAGTCCACTACATCTGCTACAACTATTGGCACCAGTCCCATATCTGACGCATCTACTACTGCAGGAGACACATCTGTGACAAGGATTACAGAAACCACCTCCAGAGCAACTACTCCTCCTGAATCCACTATATCGCCTACAGCTTTTGGCACCAATTCCATACCTGAAGCATCTACTACTGCAGGACACACAACTGTGACTAGGGTTACAGACACCAACACCCAAACAACTACTCTTCCTGCATTTACTACATCTCCCACAGTTTCTGGTGAAACCACCACGTCTGCAGTATCTACTACAGTAGGAGACACCACTATCTTGAGTGTCACAGATACCACCACCCAAGCACCTACTACTCCTGAGTCCACTACATCTGCTACAGCTATTGGCACCAGTCCCATATCTGAAGCATCTACTACTGCAGGAGACACTACTGTCACGAGGGTTACAGACACCACCATCCAAGGAACTACTCTTCTTGGGTCCACTACATCTGCCACAATTTCTGGTCCCACCACCACATCTGAGGCATTTACTACAGCAGAAGGAACAACTGTGACAAGTGTTACAGACACCACCTCCCAAGGAACTACTACTCCTGATTCCACTACATCTGCTACAACTACTGCCACCAGTCCCACCCCTGACACATCTACTATGGCAGGAGAAACAACTGTGACAAGGGTTACACACACCACTATCCAAGCAACTACTCCTCTTGAGTCCAGCACATCTGCCATTGCTTCTGGTAACAGCACCACATCTCCAGTATCTACTACAGTAGGAGACACCACTACCTTGAGTGTCACAGATACCACCACCCAAGCACCTACTACTCCTGAGTCCACTACATCTGCTACAACGATTGGCACCAGTCCCATATCTGAAGCATCTACTACTGCAGGAGACACTACTGTCATGAGGGTTACAGACACCACCATCCAAGGAACTACTCCTCTTGGGTCCACTACGTCTGCCAGAACTTCTGGTCCCACCACCACATCTGAGGCACTTACTACAGTAGAAGGAATAACTGTGACAAACGTTACAGACACCACCTCCCAAGGAACTACTACTCCTGAGTCCACTACATCTGCTACAACTATTGCCACTAGTCACACACCTGACGCATCTACTACGGCAGGAGACACAACTGTGACAAGGGTTACACACACCACTATCCAAGCAACTACTCCTCTTGGGTCCACCACATCTGCCATTGTTTCTGGTGCCACCACCACATCTGAGGCACTTACTACATCCAGAGACAAAACTTCTCCTCCTGAGTCCACTACATCTGCTACAACTATTGCCACTAGTCCCACACCAAGAACCACACCAGGTGAGTAGTTTTTCAAACTCTCTCTTTTTTGAAACTTACATTTTTTTTTTTAATTCTCCGTCCTGATTTGTACTTGTCTTATTAAACCTTTAGTCAGTACAAGCTTCGTTTGCCTTTACTTGTTTTGCATTAGATAAAATTTCCTCATATCCTGCCGCCCTTTCTACTTTGTTTTCTGCCCTTTTCCCTGCTGTTCCTTGTACTAGTTCCCTTTTTTTTTTTTCTTTTTTCATATAAAACATTTTACCTCTCTTTGCTTGGGCATCTTTAATTCCCAGTAAACTTTTAACACATCTTATTTCCCCTTTTAATACCCTGCAAGGATTTCTAGTGATATAGTAGGTAAGCTATTAGGCTACTAACCAGAAGGTCAGTGGTTCAGCCCTACCAGCCACTGCAGAGGAGAAAGACGAGGCGGTTAGCCTTGGAAACCCTAAGGAGCAGTTCTACTCTGTCCTAAAATGTCACTAGGAGTAGAATTATACCCTTCTAGTAGCATAGTGGTAGCATAGTGGCTAAGACATTTGCCTGCTAACCAGACGGCTGGCGGTTCAAACCCACCAGCCACTCCTCGGAAGGAAGGTTGGGCAATCCTACTTCCGTAGTGATACTGCCTCGGAAGCCCAAGGAGGGGTCGCTATGAGTCGGGTTTGACTCGACGGCACATAACAACAACAACAACAGTAGCATAGTGCCTAAAGCATTTGATTGCTAACCAGAAGGCTGACAGTTCAGACCGACCAGCCACTCCTTGGAAGGAAGGCTGGGCAATCTATTTCCGTGGTGATACCGCCTTGGAAACCCAAGTAGGGGTTGCTATGAGTCGGACCCAACTCGATGGCAGTGCATTTTTGTGTTAAGCTATAGAGTGTGGTGCAGATATGTGTGAGAGTCTTGTCCCTTTCAGTGATCTGCCTCAACAATGGGCAATGGAACGGAGAGAACTGTGAATGCCCCAGTGGCTTCAAAGGAGATCGGTGCCAGTATTCTGACAACTGCCAGAATGAAGGCATCTGGGATGGGAGCCAGTGCAAATGCACCTACCTCTACCAAGGGCCCACGTGTGAGCAGCTGGCCAACAGCATCAACGTGGGTGAGCTGAGACTACAGGCCCTTCCCCTACACTCCTCTGGGCCCAACCTCCAAGCCAGACACCTGTTCCTGCATCAATTCAGAGCAGGGGGATGAATCGGGTCTCTTTTAGGGGCAATTTCGCCTAGCTTAAAACATTAAGACACAAACAAACATTGGTATATTGGAATAAAACACATTTGGCAATTTGAATGAAATAGATTTAAATAAAGGGGTATGTTATGGAATGGAGTGCAAAAGTTATGTTGCATTCTATAATTAAATGTAAGCACCTGAGGTCTCTTGGGCTTTATTCCAAAGCCATTGGGAGTAGTGTCCTCTCCTCTCTCTCTAGGGGTAAATGGGTGAAAAAGATAGAAGCCTGGGAACAAAGGGTCCGACCGAGGTTGGGGGCCATTCCCACCACCCACCAAATGGGGTGGACTTTCTGGGGCTATGGATCTCCTTGTTTGGGGACTCAGAGAGGATGCTGTTTGTACTCAATGCTGCTGTCTGACCCCCTCTCAGCACCTCCACCAGAGACAGTCACAGCCCAGGTGGAACTAACTGTGACAATAGTCAATCATAATTTCACTGAAGATCTAAATAACAAGTCTTCCCCCACATACCTGGACTTCAGGAAGACGTTCACCAAAGAGGTGAGGCTGGGAGGACAAGGCCCCATGGCTGCTTAGGTCCCCCAGGGAGGAGTCTCTTGGGGTTAAGAAAGCAGTTGAGGGCCTTTCTCTCACTAGACATATGTAAGTTTCTCAGCTCACCCATATGCTCAGCACTTGCCAGGGAGGGAGGAGAAGGGTAAAGCAAGGTCCACTGGGGGCTGCAGGGGCCCTAGGGATGCAGCAGGTATCTGAGAAGAGAATACTCCATCCAGACCATGTACCACTGCCAGCTTGGAGCAGACAGGGGAGCTGCAGGGCAGGATGATCCATCTTCTGCCCTCCTGAGAGTCTATGGAAAGGTTTGGCAGGTCCTTGGTGGTAGCTGTGGGGTGACATAGTGACCTTCTTATCTTTCAGATGGATATTCTTTATGCTGGAATCCCTGAGTATAACGGTGTCAACATCACAAAGCTAAGGTAAGTATCTGGGGCTCCTAGGAAGAGGGTCTTTGGAGTGGAAGCAATAGTCAAAGAGATAATTATAGATAACTATAAAAATAATTATAACTATGTCTACCATCAATGATAGTTTCACATACATTTTCCCATTGAAGGTTTGTAACTACCCACTAAGATAGGCCAGTTGGACTGTTCCCACTGAGCAGAAGAAGCAGAGACCCAAAGAGATGAAATGAGTTGTCTGGGGAGTCACTTATAGAATACTGGTTTCCTAGGGCTACCATAACAAGTAGCACAAAGTGGGTGCCTATAGAAAACAAATGTATTGTTTCACAGTTCTGGTGGCTGGGAATCCAAATCAGGTGTCAGCAGTGGGATTTCTTCTGAGGTTTGAGGGAGAATCTGTTCTATGCCTTTCTTCTAGCTTCTGGTGACTCCTGGCAATCCTTGGCTTGTGGCTGCAACATCACATTATACCTTGTATTTCTTTTTCTGTCTCTTCTCTTTTTTTATAAGCACAACTCAAATTGGACTACTACCCACCCTACTCCAGTATAAACTCATGTTAACTGATAACACCTCCAAACACTCTATTTCCAAACAAGATCATGTTCACAGATACCAGGTACCAGGGATTAGGACCTGAGCAATCCATAACAAGTAACACCAAGACTCAAACAAAAGTCTTGTTCATGGTAGAGACAGACCAACATACCAGAAAACCTGGAAGCTACTGCTTGTATAATGGATGCCCCATTTGTCCTCAGAGATATGGCCAAATAATTTAGCATCTGAAGGCTCACCTGAAAAAGAATGCCCGGGGAAGAGGGTGTCCAAGTCCACAATTGTTCTGTATTCAATTCCATTCACTTAAGATTGAATCCTGCTGTCATGAATCTTTCCCTATTATTGACCCCAAATTTAAGAAATCCTTTGAATAGTACTAAAGAGATCTGGTAGTGTAGTAGTTAAGGCATTTGGCTTCTAGCCAAAAGGTTGGTGGTTCAAACCCACCAAGTGTTCCACAGAAAAGAAATGAGGCAGTCTGCTTCCATGAAGATTTACAACCTTGGAAACCCAATGGGGGTTGCCAGGAGTTGGAATTAACTAGATGGCAGTGAGTTTGGTTTTTTGGTTTCGAATGGTGCTGGCCAATTGGTTTGCATGGGTCCACCCAGAAGACCCTGGGTCGTGAGGGAAATATCTTCTCTCATGGTTTATAAGAGTCCTGATTGATCATTTCCAAAAGGAACTTATAACCAAGAAGATACAAAAGAGTACCAGAAGCACAGGAAAAAAAAAAAAATGTGAGTTTACCCACCTCCGTTTCCCCTCCTCCTTCAATTCTGTCTAACATGAAACCCTCTCTTGCCAACAGTCACCCCAGGCAGGATATGGTGGGAACACCAGTGTGGGCTCACAGCATAGTGCCCTGGTCAGCCCTTGGCTTTGGGCAGGGCACTGCTCCACCACTCCTTAGCAGCTCAGTTCCCTGGGATGAGAGGAGCATTTTTCTTTCTGGCCCTAAAACTTCCTCGACTCTATGCTGACCACACAGGGCTCTCTAGTTCTCCTTAGGAGTCTCCTGGTCCTGCTGCTGTGAGGTCAGTCCTTGTCCTTGATCTCTGCCCTGCCTCCCTGTCTCTCAGGGGAGATGGTGAGGGCAGGGCTCATTGGAGCCAGCAGATTTATGATCTTAGCCTCAGCAGTTAACCTGAAGGTGTTCCTGGCAGTGGTCCTTTGGTGCCCCTCACTGACCCCTCCCATGACCTCTCAGATTGTCCTAAAAGCTCTACAGCTATCAAGATGTTACTAGATCTCCCATCTACTCCACTTCCTTCAGGTCAGCTAGGAGACAGTTGCACTCTGTGGATGTCTGGAAAACACATAGCAAGAAAGCATTTTTCCCGAGAGAGTAGTTCTGGAGATATCTGGGAGCTGGTAGATAAGAAATGACAATCATTTACTTCGAGTCACAGAAGGAGAAGCCTAAGCAACTGTCTACTTGTCTTAGTTTCCTCGTGCTGCTGTAACAAAAATGCCACAGTGGATGGCTGTAAAGGACAGAAACTTGTTCTCTCACAGTCTGTACACTGCAAGTCTGAATTCAGGATGTTGACTCTAGCAGAAGGTCCATTTGTGTCTCTTTCACCTTCTAGTACCTGCTGGCCATCATTGGTGTCCCTGGCTTGTAGACTCAACCTCTGTCTTCCCATGGTGTCTCCCCTTCTATCTCTGCATCCATTCTGCTCTTCTTATAAGACACCGCTCAGAGTAGCTAACTAGGGTCTTAAAACCTTGCAAGCTGCCATCTAGATGCAAAAATGGGTCTCTCCTTGTCCACAGCAAAGAAGAATGAAGAAAACCCAAAATTCATGGAAACAATCAGTCCTAGCGACTGGTATACCAGGCAATCCGCAGCCTATATGACTATGAGATCAGAAGAACTAGATGGTGCCCGGCTACCACTGTCAACCACTTGGAGGGGGATCTATGTAGGAGATCCTGGAGTGGGAGAACAGTGTGGAACAAAACCCAAAATCACTTGGAAAAAAAAAAGGGGGGACCAGGTTTGCTGGTCCGATGGAGCCTGGTGGAACCACTGAGACTATGGTTCCTAGCTGCCCTTCAGGTCTGGAATTGAACCCACACTTGTGGCTTCAAGTCAAACAAAGACAGGCATATGAGTTGAACATTTACCTAAGGTAGATACACTCCTTGGAGAGAACAATCATGGGAGAAAGAAGGGCTGTTTATGCACAAGGAGACAGCTCAGGGGGCAAGAGTACATGGAGGGATGGACACAGGGAAGAGGTAACTATTGGGAGGAAGTAGGAGGGGAACTGTTGCATTGGGGTAAATTGTAGTCAATGTCATGAGACAAAGTGTATGTGAACCACTGTATGGAAAGTGAATTTGCTCTGTAAACTTTCACCCAAATCACAATTAAAAAAAAAAAAAAAAAGACACCACCAGAAAGGATTAGGGTTAGGACCCATGCTACTCTGTCATGATCTCATTAACATAAGAAAAGTAAACCCTTATTTCCAGGTCATATTTATAGGTACAGGGTGTAGAACTTTCAACATAGCTCTTTGGGGGACATAATTCAATCCATCATTAGTCTGGCCCCTCCTGTACAGATGAGGAAATTGAGGTACAGTGAGTTAACTGACCAGCCCAAGGTCTCACTGCTATCTAGGGCATTGCCAGTATTGCACCCTAATCTGCTAACTCCCACTATCCCAGCACTGCCTTGATAAAGCTGCTTTTCTCTACTCGAGCTCTCAAAACAGGAGCCGATGGACCTGTGCAATGTTGGAGACCCACCACCAACTAGATTTCTTGGGATCTCCACTTCCTTATTTGTGAAAGATGACCTTGAACTAGAAGACCCCCTGGTCCCTTCCATCTCTTATATTCTATGTTGTTGTTGTTGTTGTTGTTTGCCATCGAGTCTTCCCCAACTCATAGTGACCCCTCCTTGGGTTTCCCAGGCAGTATCACTATGGAAGTAGGATTGCCAAACCTTCCTTCCGAGGAGTGGCTGGTGGGTTTGAACTGCCTGCCTTCTGGTTAGCAGTCAAGTGCCTTAGCCACTATGCTACCAGAGCTCCCTATATTCTATGAGTAGTCCTCAAATCTGCTGTCTGTATTTGTATTGCTGAATATGGGATTAAGGAGAAAGCAAAGGAAAGAGAGACTTCTGACTTCAGCATGTAGGAATTTTGAATTCTGAGCACAAGGAAGATTGGACTAGTTGCTGTCTTTTTAAATCCAGAAAGTTCTTGTTACTGGGATGCAAATAATTCTTACACCTACAAGAAAGAAATAATCTAGATATGAGCTTATTAACTCCGAGGATTTAAAAAAACTTTTTTTTTTTTTTTTTGCTCTATACATGGTCTTGGGCACACTCCGTCTTGTATAGACATATCTAATAGTTCAGCCTGTCCACCCATCTATCCACCCGTATATCCATGTTTTTTTTTTAATTATTATTTTTATTGTAATGTGGGTGAAAGTTTACAGAGCAAATTCATTTTCCATACAGCAATCCATACACATTTTGTTTCACGACATTGACTACAATTCCGCACAATGTAACAGCTCTCTTCCCACTTCCTCCCTGTAGTTACCTCTTCCCTGTGTCCTTCTTTCCTATGCATTCCTGCCCCTTGAGCTGTCTCCCTGTGCAAATACTGCCCTTCTATTTTCCTACAACTGATCACTCTAAGGAGCGTATCTACCTGATGTAAATGTTCACCCTATACGGAGCTCTGATGGCATATGGCATAATGCCTAAGGCACTTGACTGCTAACCAGAAGGCTGGCTACCAGCCACTCCTCAGAAGGAAGATGGAGCAATCTACTTCCGTAGTGATACTGCCTCGGAAACCCAAGGAGGGGTAGCTATGAGTCAGGTCTGAGTCAATGGCAAATAACAACAACAACAACATATGCCTGTCTATTGTTTGGTTGGAAGCCACAGAAGTCAGTGAGTTCAATTCCAGACCTGAAGGTAAATGGAAGTCTTTGTCTCTGGGGTCTCACCAGGCTCTATCAGATCAATAAAGCTGCTCTTTTTTTTTTTTTTTTTTGGGATTTTGAGTTTTGTTCTTCGTTGTTCTCCCACTCTATCCAGGATCTCCTGCACTAATCCCTTTCCAAGTGGTTGACAGTGGTAGCCAGGCACCATTTAGTTCTGGTCTCAGTCATATAAGTTGAGGTTTGCAGGGTCCACTAGTCCCTTGGATTAATAGTCTCCATGCATCTTTGGTTTTCTTCATTCTTCTTTGCTCCGGATGAGGCAAGACTCACTGCTGCATCTACATGGCCACTTGCAAGCTTTTAAGACTCCAGTCACTACTCACCAAAGTAGGATGTAGAACAATGCTTTTGTGTAGTACGTTATGCCAATTGAGCTTGATGTCCCCTGTGACCATAGTCCTGAGCCCACAGGTCCAACAATTCACTCCATCAGGGTGGCTGACTGTGCCTAAGAAGTTATCATAACTTTGCTTTCTGTTAGCTCTAGTTATATGGACATTCTTATGGCACATACAAATATGCATGTAGAAGTATCATCTGCCAACCTTATATATGGCATAGCTATATTCCCTTTTGCCTAGACACACCTGGTCATTCAGCCTGTCTACTCATCTGTTTACCCATAGATTCATGTTTGTTGTCTCTGATATTGCAGTATTACATTAGTAAAAGGGTTTATCTTTGTTGTCTGTACCTCTTGTACACCTCTCTGTGTCTTCCTTTTCCTTAGTGTTACTGTGTTGGTCACTCTCAAAGGCATTTCTTATTCCTTTTAGGAAACACAGAGATAGACTATGCTAACTAGGGATTAGAAGATAGGGAAGAAGAAAGGAAGGGAAAGAGCAAGGCGCTGTGAGAATGCCCGAGCTTCCTGAACCCAGAACTTTGTAGTTAGGAGAGATTTTGATTGGAATTTTCATCTTTTGGGAGATAAGAAAACAAAAATGTGTGTAGTTGTTGTTGTTGTTGTTGTTATGTGCCATCGAGTCGGACCCGACTCATAGCAATCCCTCCTTGGGTTGCCGAGGCAGTATCACTACGGAAGTAGATTGCCTAACCTTCCTTTTGAGGAGTGGCTGGTGTATAATTAGAGAAATGCAAATATGCACCTTCAAAATTTTGCATACAGCTTTAAAGATTTATAGGTAGCTTAGTGGTAAAGACTGCTCAGTGCAGCCCACCTCTGATGACTAGGGATATGAACCCCACTAAGAGTCCCTGATGCGACCTCTTACCTCATGGCTAAAGGCTCCTTAAGGACACCTTGTCAGCAGTTTCCCAGTCTCCTTCTGTTTGAATATATCTGTGACACCTTAAGGATGACCTCTCCCATGGTCCCACCCCTCTTTTCATGTTTAAGACTCTCACCTAGAGTTTCCCAGAGCCTAACCTTTGTAGACCTCCTAGGATCAGGTCAGAGCATTCACTCACTATGCACTGAAGTCATCATTTTAAATTTTCTCTCCTGTTGACTTCCTATGGAAGCAGAGAGGGGAAGGGGTAGGAGAGATGAGCACAACTTCTGACCTGCAAAGATACCCAAGAACATCTCCTCCTCTCTCCTCAGGCCTGGCAGTGTGGTAGTAGAGCATGAAGTCCTCCTCAAGACCAACTTCACTCCAGAATACAAGGAAGAACTGACGAAAGCCACGCAGCAGGTGGAGGAGAAAATCATGATTATAACCCAAGAACAAGTAATGAGTAACAATACCTGCCCAGGTGAGTTCCTAGAATACTGGGGTGGGAGAAGAAGGGGTTTTCTGACACATGTCATCCCTGGGTCGGAGGGAAGGGAGAAAGGCAGATGGGGTGAGTGGGAAGAAGCTGAGGATCCTGGAAACAATCCCAAGGCTTGTTGCTCAGAAGGGCAGTTCAAAAAGAGGCTTTCAACAGAGGATACAAAGCCAGCTATGGCCACGTGCTCAGTCCAGGGCGCCAGCATACAATGGAAAGGGACAGGAAGTCCAAGGAAAATCAGGATGAACATGACTTTTTAAGCAAAAGGTGGGGATCTTGGGAGAGGTGGGTAGGGAAGACAAGGGGCAAAGGGGAGGTACTGGACATCTGGAGGCCATCATCCTGCAGAGCTGCCACACTCCCCTCCGCAGGGACCGTTTTCTCACCTCCCCATCACAGCCCCACTCCCTTCAGACCCCTCATCCCCTCAGACCCTGCAGATGCTAAACAAGCTCATTATAAAAGGTTTTATGTGTCTACTTCTCAGCCTCACTGTGTTTCAACAAGAATGCCACCAAGGTGCAAAACGTGACCGTTACCCAATACGACCCTGAAGGTATGTGACCTGAGGGGCTTCTGGAGGGGTGAGGGGCAGGGGGACCCAGGATGAGCCTGGACAGAGCTCCCAGCCTCCGACTCATGGCACATCTCCTCCATGCCTCCTCAGCTGAGTGCAAGAAGAAGGCCGGGGAAGAATTTGCCCAATATTTCTTCGTGGAATACAAGGATCAGAAGGCCAACTGCATCTCTGCCTGCATGCCAGGCTTCAATGCCTCGATGGACTGCCACGAGGGGAAGTGCAAGCTACAGCGCAGTGGTCCTCGGTGCTAGTGAGTGCCCACCCACCCACCCACCCACCCAAATCTTCCCACCCCCTGCAAGCCTCTCACCACTCAAGACTCTGCCTAGAGGTCAAGGTCAGGGACTGAGTCCCAGCCACTCATGAATGCACCCATCCGCAAAGGAATTGGGAGGAGACATGTGTAGCCAGAGCCCCCAAGGACAGATCCAAAATAGTCCAAGAGTGTCTCCGCAGCTGCCCTCCCAGGTGTCCTCTTTGTACCTAGCTGAGGACTGTGACAAACATCCAGGAAGTACCGGAGAGGCCATGGACTCAGGAAGTTCCCAGTCAGACAGGGCAAAGAGACTCCTGCTTCCAGGAAGAGAACAGCACCCCTGCTGGTGGAATGGGAAAGGTGGCCACACACCAACACAGAGAAGGTGGAAAACCAGAAGTAGGAAAGCAAAGAATGGCATTCCTAATTGAAACGGAACCTAAGAGAGAACGGCTGGCACACCAGTTGTGGGGGAAGGAGTCACACGTTATGCAAAGTCCTGAGTAGTGATTCTGGCGAGGCTTTTTGGAAGTTCACGAGTTAGCACGAGGAGGAAAGGAATAGGGTTTAGAAAGGGCATGGGGTGGGAGGAGGTAGGAAGAGCTTCAGAAGTGGACCGTTTGCTCTGGCTCTGCGATGGGGCATAGTGTATCCTGCCAGAGAGGGAGGCTGAGAATTAGGATGGTTAATGGGTCACTATTGGTTCCTCAAATCGCTGGGGTACATCCCAGAGGAGCCCCAGAGTTGGACCAACTATTCCTGGGTTGCTAAAGGCTCAGTGCTGGATAGTAAGCCTATTCAGGGACCATGCTCCTGGAAGCTGGACTTCATCACTGTCCATGCCTTCAGGGTTCCTAGCAATTTCTTCTTTACCATCTAAGACCCGGGGGGGGGGGCGGGCCTGGTTCTAAAACTGGGAGACTGGAGGCATTACCTGTGTCACTGACTCTGGGCTGCTTTCTCTCTCTCCACCTGCCCTTTCTCTCCCTTCCCAGCTGCCTGACCACAGATACGCACTGGTACACTGGAGAAACCTGTGAGTCGAGCATTCGGAAGAGTCTGGTGTATGGGATCATAGGAGCAGGAGGAGTAGTGGTGCTGGTTATCCTTGTTGCCCTCTTGGTATTCGTATTCCTCTCCAAGAGGGAGGTGCAAAGGTGAGCCGTTGCTGCCTTTCTTCCTCTCCCTCCTCCTTCTCTTCTGATCCTTGTGTTTTCAATCATTCCATCCTAGTAGTAGACAGTGAGGGGGAGGAGAGCAGAGACACAGCTGGTCCCAATGTCTTTGTTCCTGTTCCTTCATCATAACAAAGTCTCTCTGGTGTTTCTATCAATAGACAAAAGTCCAAAGTGTCTCAGTTGTACAAGTGGCATGAAGAAGATGGTGGACCAGCCCCTGGGACCTTCCAAAATATTGGCTTTGACATCTGTGAAGGTATTGGGAATCCTCACTGAATTCAAAATAGCTCGAAGTGTGGAAACATATATGAAACACATGTGGGAGGGTTCTGGGGCTTGAAGGAACTAAGGGAAAATCTATTTCTCATCTCCAAAATTTCTTTTTGAATTTTTTTGTGATTTGGTTGAAAGTTTACAGAGTAAATTCATTTTCCATACAGTAGTTCACACACATTTTGTTTCATGACATTGACTGCAATTCTTCACAATGTAACAGCTCTCTTCCCACTTCCCCCCTGTAGTTACCTCTTCCCTGTGTCCTTCTCTCCCATCCACTCCCACCCCCTGAACTATCTCCCTGTGCAAACACTGCCTTTCTGTTCTCCCATGATTATCGTCTCCAAAACTTTTGTGTCTATATTTGACATCTTATTTTTACTATTCGCTCCTTCAAGTCCCTGGATGGGGGACTTCAGCTAAATCTACCAGAGCATAGCATCTCTAAGCCATCCACAGGCACAGATTGTTTGATGGTGGTAATTGTACTCAATACTAAGTGAGTTATATCAAAGAAAAGGCACTAACTTTAGGTTAAACGCATATGTTAAAATTTCTAGGAAGACAGTCTTTAAATTCTAAAGAAGGGGGGAAATGGAATGACGAAAGAATTCAGTCAATCCACGAGAAAACAAGGAGGGACAAAAGATAAATACAGGATAAATAAAAATCACAAATTAAACATTATAAAATAATACAAATATATCTCTAATCACAATAAATGTAAATGGGTCAAGGACTCTAAGATTGGTTAAAAGAAAATCTAGCTATTCACTGGACGAAAACAACAACTCACTGCCATCAAGTAGATTCTGACTCATAGTGACCCCTCCTTGTGTTTCCAAGGCAGTATCTTATGGAAGTAGATTGCCCAGTCTTCCTTCTGGAGAGTGGCTGGTGGGTTTGAACCACCAGCCTTCTGGTTAGTAGTCAAATGTTCTAGGCACTATGCCACCAAAGCTCCTAATGAGAGGTCCATGTAAAACAGAAGCCCAGAGAAAGGATGAAAGCAAAATTACAGAAAAAGATAGAACCAAATCTTTGTTTTAATCAAAATATTTTTGTCGCCATATTCGTAATAGGTAAGTAGACTTTAAAGCAAAAAGAATTACTAAAGACAATAAATTATTAATACCTATTGATAAATGGTTTACTCTATTAGGAAGGCATAACAAATCTAATTTGTGTGCCCTATTTATACAGTTTCAACTTATATAACGCAAAAATTGACAAAACCATAAGGAAATTGGACAAATCCACCAGCATCACGGGAAATTTTAAACACAATTCTCTTAGGAGTTGACTGATCAGGCATGCAAAAAAAAAAAAAAAAAAATCAGGCATATAGAACATTTGTACAAAATAATTAAAAAATGAAACTCCAAACTCATTGCCATTTAGGTGATTCCAACTCATGGTGACTCCACTGGGTTTCCAAGGCTGTAAATATGGAAGCAGACTGTCTCATCTTTCTTCTGTGGAGTGGCTGGTGGGTTCAAACCACGAACCTTTTGGTTAGCAGCCAATGCTATAGTGGAGTCAGGAGGTGGGTCACCTAAGTGGGGACTGCTCTCCCAACCACCATAGGGCCACTGGGCTCTGAAACCAACAAGACGTCTGGAGATCCTTCTAAGGAGTTTCAGCCCCTCCTGAAATAGGAAAGTCTCCTTATGCTTCCCTGAATACCCCCACAGAGCAAGCCCCAAAACCAGAGGGCAACACCCAAAGAGGACTCTCTGGTGTGGGTTTTCTGACTAAAAATGTGATTGAAGACACAGAGAAGGGAAGGAGTAGTAATGAGAGGGGGCGGGGGAAGCACTGCTCCCCCTGGTGGACAGATTGATTAGTACATGATATCTAACCTGAGTGCTAGTGCGCGGCTGCAATACACACAGAACATAGAATGTTCTCTGGTGTGTTTGGGAGAGACTGAAAGTTGAAAAATGAATCCCAATTAATTTAGGGAAGGAGAAGGAGCTATTACAGAGAGAGAGGAAACAGTAAGCAAAGGCCAAAGGCTCTGCCCACATAAGAGTTTCTTGCAGAAAGCAGTCTAGGCAGAAACGCCAATTGGGAAAACTGAGAAAGTTAATGCCCTCAAAAATTTCAATGTCTCAACAACAGTAACAAAAAATTACAAGACACACAAATGACAGAGAAACAATGGCTCATCCGAATGAACATGACAAAGGGAGTGAAAGTGCATCTAAGGAACCAAATGATGAAAAAGAATGGAAGAATATAATACAACAACATTAAACATATTACAGACGTAAGGGAAAACATAGACAAAGAGATCAAGAAAAAGAAAACAATGTGAGAACAAAATAAAGATCTGAGAAAAGAGATAATATAACTGAAAGGGACAACAACTGAAATGAGAAACACAATAAAAGGACTCATCAACAGATTTAATCAGGCAGAAGAAAGAATCATCAAATTAAAGGATGTTTGTTGTTGTTGTTATGTGCCATGGAGTCGGACCCAACTCATAGCAACCCCTCTGGGTTTTCAAAGCAGTATCACTACAGAAGTAGATTGCCCAACCTTCCTTTCAAAGAGTGGCTGGTGGGTTTGAACCACCAGCCTTCTGATTAGCAGCCAAGTGCCTTAGGCACTATGCTACCAGAGCTCCTAAAATAAGATAGTTAAAATTACAGAGGCTGTAGAGTAACAAGAACAGGGGGTGAGGGGGCTCAAGAAGGCTGAGAACACTTAAATGGAATTATAAGACAACAATAAAAGACCCAATATATGCATCATGAGGATTCCAGAAGGAGATGAGAGAGAGAGAGAAAGAAAGAGAGAGAGAGAGAGAGAGAAGAAGAAGAAGACAGAAAGAACATTTGAAGAAGCAATGACAGAAAATTTCCCCAATCTAACAAAGGACATGGATCAACAAATCCAAGAAACTGGAAAAAGAAAAGCAGGATAAACCCAAAGAGATCTCCACTAAGAAACATCATAGTTAGGTTCTCAGAAAAGTAAAGATAAAGACAGAGTCCTGAAAAAGTGAGAGAAAAGCAGACAGTCACATATAAAGGATCCCAAATGAGCTTAACTATCTATTTCTCCTCAGAAATATTGCAGACCAAAAGGCAATGGACTGAAACATTTTAAATGCTGAAAGAAAAAAAAAAAAAAAAAAAAGCTGTCAACCAAGAATACTATACCCAGTGAAACTGTCCTTCAAGACTGAATGTTAAATTAAAATATCCTCAGATAAACGGAAGCTGAGAAAATTCATATCCATCAAACCAGCCCTATAAAAAATACTAGTGGAAGTTCTTTAGATGGGAAGGAAAAGACACTAGAAAGTAAGTTAAAGATATACATGAAAAAGAAAGATCCCTAATAAAGGTAACTGCATGGACAAGTATAATGGCTGGTAATAAGATATTCAAGCTTGTTAATTCTAAATATTTTGTCCTTCATGTTTTTAAATAACAAATATATAAAAGGTAAGGATATTGTTACAGGGCAAATGAAATATAAATATGAATTATTAATAATAGCAAAAGGGGAGGAGAGAAAGGATAGATACAGAATTTTTTGTATGTTACTGAAGTTGTTAGTTTAAGTTCCTATCAACTTAGCCTAGGATGTTATAAATACAAGCTTTTATTATTATTATTATTATTTTATTGTGCTCTGGGTACAAAATTTGTTTTACATTCGATAGTTCATGTACATTTGATTTCATGCCCCGATTACCATCCTCGACCACAGCAAACTTTCCTCCCCTCCCATCCCTGAGACCACCCCTCCCCGTGCCCTTCTTACCTACGCACTCCTGTCTGTCCAGCTTTCTCTCTATGTGAATACTGCCCCTCTGGTGTCTCATGGCTGATTGCTTTAAGGGGTGTGTCTCCCTAGAGTAGGTGGGTGTATTGCCTTGGGATAGGTGTTCTGCATGCAGTTCTTTCTACTGTTGGGCTGAGAGCCAATCTGTGGACATGAATCCAATTCTAGGCCCAAAGGGTAACCCAGGGCCATAGTCTTGGGGGTTCCACCAGAGTCTATCTGACCAATAATTCTGGTCATTTTTGTGCTTTTGGATTTTGTTCCAAATTTTTCTTCCCACTCTGTCCAGGATCGCCTGGTTTGGTCCCTTTCTGAGTGGTTGGCATTGGTAGCCAGGCACCATCTAGTTCTTCTGGTTTTGGTGTCCATCTTATCCTTGGACTAACTGTTTCCAGATGCCTTTTATTTTCTTCACTCTTCTTTGCTTCAGACGAGAGGAGACCAATAGTTCCATCTTAGATGGCTGCTCAAAAGCTTTTAAGACCCCAGTTGCTACTCACCAAAGTAGGTTGTGGGACAAGATTTGTATGTACTATGTTGTGCCAAGTTGAGTTTGCTGTCCCCCAAGATTATGGTCCTGAGTCGGCAGACCCAGTGATTCTCTCTCTCAAGGTGTATTGTCTCTGAAAGGTTACTGCAACTCTGTCTTCTGTTGCTTCTGCACTGTGTGTAGCTGGTTTTGTAACACAAGTACATATGTAAGATTATCTTCAGCTAAATCTATCCGTGGTCTAGGGTACATGCCTATTCACCAACCCCTACCTGATCATAAATACAAGCTCTTAAATGTAATATTCATGATAATAACTAAGGAAAATATTACATATATCTATATCTATATCTATACACACACACACACACATACTCACACATACATACACAAAGGGTAAAGAGAAAGGAACAAAAAATGCTCAATTAAGAAACAAAACAGAAAAGCAAGCAGTACTAACAGACAAAGACAAAGAAGACTTCAGAAACACACAAAAAACAAATAACAAAATGTCAGAAGTAAGCTACTCCCTATCAGTAATTACATGAATGTAAATAGACTAAATGCTGCAGTCAATGTGCAGACAGTGGCAGAATAGATGAAAAAAAAAACTATGATCCAACTATGTACTGTTCACAAAAAATACACCTTAAACTCAAGGGCACAAATAGGTTGAAAGTGAAAGGATAGAAAAAAATTCCAGTCCAGTAACAACCAAAAGAGAGCCAGGTGGTAATGTTAATAGCAGATAAGATAGAGTTGAAGACACAACCTATCAGAAGAGATAAAGACAGACATTAGAGAATGATAAAAGAGTCAATTAATCAAGAAGGTTTAGCAATCATAAATATACATGCACCCAACATTGGGGCACCTAAATATATAAAGCAAACACTGATAGAGTTGAAGGGAGAAATAATGCTACAGTAATAGTTGGAGACTTCAATGCACCATTTTCAATACTGGACAAAACGTCCAGAAAGAAAGTCAACAAGGAAACACAGAGCCTGGATGACATTATAAACCAATGAGATACCACAGACTACACAGAACACTCCACCCAAAACCAGCACAAAACCCATTCTACTCAGTGCACATGGATCACTCCAGGATAGGTCACACCTTAGGTCAAAAAGCAAGTCTTGATAAATTTTAAAAGATTGAAGTCATACATAGCATTTTCTCTGACCACAATGGAATGAAGCTAGAAATTAATAACAGGAAAAAAAAAAAAAAAGAAAAGAAAAGAAACTAGAAAACACATCCCAACCAAACCAAACTCACTGCTGTTGAGTCAGATCCAACTCATAGCGACTCCTCCTTGGGTTTTCGAGGCAGTATCACTACGGAAGTAGATTGCCCAACCTTCCTTCCCAGGAGTGGCTGGTGGGTTTGAACTGCCAGCCTTCTGGTTAGCAGTCAAGTGCCTTAGGCACTACGCCGCCAGAGCTCCTAGAAAGCACATAAGCATACAGAAATTAAACAACACACTATTAAACTAACAATGGGTCAAGGAAGAAATCACTAATTTCTTAGAGTCAGATTAAAATGAAAGCACAACATACCAAAACTTATGGGATGCAATAAGGCAGTACTCAAAGAAAAACTTGTAGCAACAAATGCCTACACTAAAAAAAGAAGAAAAATCTTAAATTAACAGGCTAACTTGACAACTCTGTTGTTGTTGTTATGTTCCATGGAGTGCCCCCAACTAATAGCGACCCCTCCTTCAGTTTCCAAGGCAGTGTCACTGCAGAAGTAGATTGCCCAACCTTCCTTCCGAGGAGTGGCTGGTGGGTTTGAACCGCCAGCCTTCTGGTTAGCAGTCAAGTGCCTTAGACACTATGCTACCAGAGCTCCTATGAATGATCATTCAATCCATGATCATTACTAAATTATACATGTAGAAATTGTGGGATGGGTGTATCTTTTGTTTTGTCTATTCTGAGCAACAACAAAATAAATACAATTTAGAAAAAATAGAAAGGATCCACAAACCAAAATTTGGCTATTTGAAAAGGTTAATAAAGTTGGCTAACTTCTGCTTAAGACTGATGAAGAGACAAGAATGAAAGTAAAAATACTCAATATCAGGGATGAATAAGAGAACATTACTATAACAACAGCTGTAATACTAAAAAGATAATATTATGAACATCTTTGGGAGCTCTGGTCACATAGTGCTTAAGGCACTTGACTGCTAATCAGAAGGCTGGCGGTTCAAACCCACCAGCCACTCCTTGGAAGGAAAGTTGGGCAATCTACTTCCGTAGTGATACTGCCTCAGAAACCCAAGGAGGGGTCGCTATGAGTCGGGTCTGACTCAACAGCACATAACAACAACAACGACAACATGAACATCTTTAAACCAATAGGGTCTATAAACTTAGGCAACATTCTGAAAAACAGCATGGTCCCAAAACTTTTTTTCTTTTAAAAATGAAAATTCTATTTTCAAAAATTAATCACATTTTGAAAGTGGAGTCGACCAAATTTTCAGAGAAAGAAGATTTACAATCTTATACAAACTCATTCAGAGAACAAAAAGAAAAGGGAATTCTCTCTCACTCACTTTACGACCTTAAACCTTTATAGCGAAGCCAGACAAGAACAGTACAAGAAAGTAAAATTTAAAGCATAATTCATTTACAAATATCATGACAAAAATCCTGAACAAAAATTTAGCACACCAAATCCAGCACATATAAAAAGCATGGCTGACTGAGCCCATTCAGGACAGCAGCAGTAACTGAAGATTAGAACATCTGTTTGTAGATTCACCACCCAAACCAAAATGAATCCACTGCCATCAAGTCAATGTTGACTCCTAGTGACCCCCACTGGGTTCCCAATGTGGTTAATCCTTATGGAAGCAGACGGCCCCATCTTCCTTCCATGGAGCTGCTGGTGGGTTTGAACACCCAACTTTCTGGTTAGCAGTCAAATGCCTTAGGCACTGCACCACCAGAGCTCCTTAAATTCACCACCACATTAGCAGAATAAAGAGAAAATTATGATCACCACAGTAGATGCAAAATAAACTATTTAGTGAAAATCTACATCCATCTGTCAACAAATTAGAGATAGAAGAGAATTTCTATTTCTTGGTAAAGGTATCCACACAAACAGACAAAACTCATTCTCAATGGAAAAATATCAAAAGCCATTCCATTTAACCAGGGTTTTGCAAAATTTTTCTGTGAAAGAGCCAGACAGCATATTTTGGACTTTGTGGGTTATATAATCTTTATCCTACTACTCATCTCTGCTTATGAAAAGACAAAGTATTCATAGACAATATGCAAATGAATGAGGTGGCTGCGTGTGTCAACTTGGCTGAGCCATGATTCCCAGTATTTGGGCGTTATGCACAAACGCATTGCCTTTGAGTCAGATCCGACTCATAGCGACCCCTCCTTGGGTTTCTGAGACAGTATCACTACGGAAGTAGATTGCCCAATACTTGCAAGGAGTATTGTTTATCTATTTTTACCCTTTTACTTTTTACCTATTTTTGTCCTTATTGTTAAAGTGCATTTCTAGTAGAAAGCACATATAGAGTCTTCCTTTTGGAAAAAAAAAAAAAAAACCAATTTTATAAACTCTACCTAAATTTGGAAATTTAGACCATTTATATTCAACGTGATTATTAACATATTTACTTTAAATCTACGTCTCGCTATTTTAAATCTACCATCTTGATATATTCTACTTGTCTGGTTTGTTTTTTTCTTCCCTTTTTCCTCTTTTTCTTCCTTCTTTTGAATTAACTGATTGTTGGGTTTTTGAATGTGCTTTTTCACATCTTCACACAGCCAATCAATCTGCTGAGATCAGGTAATGCAGGAGTCTGTCATGCTTCCGGCAGTTTTCCATGTTGTTGGAAAGTGTATTTGCTCACCTGCCTTGCCTTCCAGTGGGTGGGATTAGAGAGCAGAGAGGAGGGGTTTGTCTTCCTAACCACCTGCTCCTTCTTTCTTCTTTCTTCCTATAGAACAAGAGGATTCTATCTATATGGACTCCATCTATAGTAACTTCCAGGCCTCACTGAGCCACATAGACTCTGAAACAAAGGTAAGAGCAGGCTCAATAAGATGTTCATTCCCCCGCCCCTGCCCTGAGACCCTCTCTCTCCTCCTACCATTGTTAGCCCTTCAGGAATGTAAAGCCATCTTTAGATTTGTTAGTGCAGGGGCTCCTATGGCATATATAGATAGGATTTTTGTTAAGAGTCCAGGAGGATTGTCTTGAGGAATGTACCACATATTCTAAATATGTCTGATTATTTCCTTATGGTGTCATTTGACTTGTCCTTCAATCCTCTGCATCTCCTATAAACTGGCAGTTAGGTCCAGAGACTTGATTAGCTTCCACTTAGACATTCTTGTTATGAATATGTCATTGTGTTGCTATGACACCACACCACTGTTATTGTATCTAAGATTGGTCACTTGGATAAGGAGTGGCCATTCCTTATGACCACTTTAATATCATCTCAACCAGTTGAATATTTGAGGCCAGAAGGAATGCCACGATTAGTTTCAGGCCCTACACTCCCTAGAGAGAGTTCTGGGGCAAAGATGAAATCCATAGCCAGTATTTCTGGAAACGTACCTGGGAGGGGAAGATACTGTTGGTTTGTACTTGACTCCAGGTAATAGGGCCAGGTTTCAGTTGAGCACTTCTGCAGTCCGAAGCCTTGCATGGTCCCAAATCCCAGCCTCATCGTGGACCCAATCCTCACCTAATTCTCTTTCTTTCCAGGTCAAAATTCAGAGGCCGCAGGTAATGATGACACATATTTAAGGAAAAAGCAGTTTCTCGTGGAACTGTGGAACCTGAGAGTGAGAAGCCCCAAGCTCTGCAGTGCAGAATGGCATCCCCAGGGTTTGTGTCAGCCAGCGCAGTAACTCATGGCGTCCCACCTCCATCATGGACCTTCTCCCATACCAGACCATACCAGACCATCCTTAGCAATGTTTATTATCAATTTTATTCAGAGAGTAACATGTGACAAATATAGTTGTAAGTTGCTTAAATGTAATGTTTCTTGGATTCAATGACTACTAACAACAAAACTGTTTTGTAACATCTTTCTACATTGCATGGCATTATTAGTCACTAAGCAGAAGACATTTATTATTATTATTCTCCTTCACTCCCAAGAAAGTTATTGATATAGATTCACAAATTCTACTTACCTCAATACTGTAGCTAACGCACTAGAGAATTTGACAAAACCAGCAACTATAAAAACACTAGCATCAACAAAACCAACAGTCTTGTAGCGTGTGCAGACAAAACTATGTGATTTGAAGCCTCCTTGTAATTGGGTAATAATGACAGCTCTGACCAGAGCTCACAAGAAGGTTCAGAAAGTAAATTAGCATAGCATTTTAGCCTTGTAGGTACATTGATACTTGTAGAGTGGGCTTACAAAAAATGTTTCTGTGGTTGTAACTAACTACAGAGATGTGTTTATAAAAATACCATAAATTTCTGCTGAAACGCTGCAAAAAATATTTATAAACAGTCATTTTGGTGTCACCCTCTCTGACAGTGTCACCGGTGTGGCTGACACCCTTTGAACCCCCACAGTGAAACCACTGGCTTGGTGGAGTATTTTCCTCATTGGGAGCATTCAAGAAACTGATGGGAAATGACCCTGCATTTATAAGGAGGAAGAAGAGAGAGACCACAGTGCTGGGAAACTCTCACATGGGGACATCATGGAAGCTACAATGTGGTTGCCGTTATTTCAGGGAGGCCCTCCTGCACATTTCTATGTAGGGAAGGTCTTCCTCCTACGATTCTGTTTCAGCACCAAGGACAGTGTTCTCCCCCCAATTCATTCAGAATGGTGATCCCTTCAACACTGGACTGCACTTTACAGTTTATAAACTATTCTTGTAAGTTATTGTATTCTTTTTTCATTAAAAAATACTCATGAGGTTTTTTTTTTAATGTATAACATTTATTTTGAGGTACATAGGATTATGGATATGTTTAACTACTTATTTTTGTTGATGTCTAATTTATGTTAATAAATATAATCATATGTTTGTAATATCTAAAAACAATAAAAGCAACTCCATTAAAATTTTCATGGTTCTCAGACCTTTCTGCACTTGCCACCCTACACAAGGCCCTGTTTCTCACTTGCCAGGCTCTTTCTCCTCCTCTCCTCCAGGGTGTTAGGGTCTCATGAGTTCTGCCTGATGATGACAAGAGGCAATCTACAGCCAGGATGAGTACCATTCCCTGACCTTCACAGCATCATTGACAGCCACTGAGGAAGCCATGAGACAGGACTCACACACTCACTCACATGCTGCAGGGACTCACTCTGCACTGGGAGAGAACCTGGGGACTCACACACTCACTCACATGCTGCAGGGACTCACTCTGCACTGGGAGAGAACCTGGCTTTCCACATTCTCCTTCTGGAAGTGGGCTGATGTTTCTTTCCATAGATCTGAAGAGATGTACCCAGAGTTCCATTTCCAGCTTTGCTCTCAACTCCCTGGGTTAAATTAGGGAAAATTATTTGGACTCAGCCTTGTCCTCTGCCAAATAAGGGCCAGATGATCTGTAAAGTCCTCTTTGTCACTGTGCTTTTTAAGACTCGTAGGAGCTTTATTATAACTCCAGCCCCACAACTCAGGAATCAGTTTGTTCTGGAAGGTCTCTCCCACAAGCCACCTCATCCACCTTAAACTTAACCTAACAAAGAGCCTAGTCTGCCCCCTCATGGGCACTCAGAACACTGCAGGCAAGGTCCAACTTCTCACCACCATTCCCTTTGGTCTCCACCATGAGAGATGATTAAACTTCACTTGGCTCATTGCCATATTTGCTATCAAAATATCCTCCACCTGGGAGGTACCTTGTCTCTTCCCCAGAAATGCCCATAAAACTTTATGGCCCAAAGGGAAAAAAAAAAATCTCCTAAGACTGGGCTGAATCCAGATCTCTTCACTTCCAGGCCTGCCTTCTTCCCACGGTTTAACCTCCTACAGCCCCAGGCTCCAGTAGCCATGAATGGGGACATTTAACAGGGCTGCAGGCCCCATAGTCTGGAATTGCATTACCCACATCAGTTCTGTGCTCCTTCCTGCGCTCCTCTCACATTGGCTCCACGGAAAGGCAGGACAGAAAGGCTAAAGGCACGGGCTGCACAGAGTCAGTTCGTGACAAGCCATTCGCTAGTTGAGTGAGCTTGGGAAAGTCACTTCTCTCCGGAGCCCAGTCCCCTCATCTGTAGAACCGAGTGATGATTTCTGGGGCCATATTCTCCAGGAGGCTGTATAGGCTCTAAATCAGCCCCCAACATACAGTGCTGTTTCTCCCATGGCCAGGATTCATGGGTCCAGGAATCAAGGGGTGGAAACAAGAGTAGCACACTCACTATGAACCCTAGTGATCCACCAGCAAAGTTTTTGCTTCCTGTTCCCATGACTCACACTCTGCTGGCCTAGAGGTCTTAGTTCCAAAAGAAGAAAGCTTCTGCCAGGAGCTATAATAATGATTCCATTGAACTGGCATTTAAAACTGCCACCTGGCCACTCTGAGCTCCTTGTGCCCTTGAATCAAAGGCAAAGAAGGAACTTACTGCTCTCCAGAGGTGGCTGATCCTAATTACCAAAAGGAAATTGGAGCGTTACTACACAACAGAGGTAAGGAAGAGTGTGTCTGGGATATAGGCAATCATGTAGGGTGTCTCTTAGTCTACCAAACCCTATGATTAAAGTCAATAGAAAACGACAACAACTCAATTCAGTAAGGACTACTAATGGCCCAGAACCTCCAGGAATGAAGGTTTGGGTCACTCTGTTTCTGTGGCAAGCACTGTTCTAAATATTGCCTATTTTTAAAATTCACTTATCCCTTAAAACTCTGTGAAGTATGAACAATTATCATCCCCATTCTACAGATGAGAGAACTGAAGTAAAGAAATGTCCAGTAACTGGACCAAGATGACACAGCTTGAGGGACTGATGCTAGGATTACAAACCAGAAAGCCTGGAATCCAGGCTGTGTTCCTGGCCATCAGTCATGTGCCCTCATGGTGGGGGTGCTCCTGGGATTAGCTGTGTTAATATCTACAACTCAGAAGGAAGGTTGCACAATCTACTTCCATAGTGACACTGCCTCAGAAACCCAAAGAGGGGCCGCTATGAGTCGAGTCTGACTCGATGGCACATAACAACAACAACATCTACAATGTGCTTGCAACAATGCCTAGCCTATAGAAAGTTCTCCAAAAACTACTTATTGTTTCATCAGCTTCTTCCTTCACATTTCTCTTTCCAGCAGCCCTTCTCTCTTTCCTCCTCCAACTTTAGAAGAATGATTGGTTAACTGGGGACAAAATGAAAGGGCCTGTCACTTTGTAGAAACAGGGAAATCCAAATGCATTGAGTCCTTTTGACTGGAGGTGGATACACCACGGCACAGAGAGACGGTCTGGTGGGGGCTTAAAGGTAAAGGGAGATCTAGGAACCACCCCCCCAGGGCCACCTGTGGCCATCTGTATTGTCCCTTGTGGCCCTGCAGTCCCACATGCACTACTTCCCTTTTGATGCTTCAACTACCAGTCCCCACAAGTCTGTTTGCAGGATTGCCACCAGCCCAGTGCTGTACTAGTCAGTCTCTCCCTGTGGCCCATCCACTGTCCATCACTCCTTCCACATTTTCCTTCCTGATTCTGCTGGTCACCTGCTCATAAAGCACTGATCTTACTGAAGAACAGTCTACACTCCTCAGCATAGTCTCCAAGGACCCTGTGATCTGCACCTGCCCCTTCCTTCTCTCTCCACCTCTACCTGCAGCAGCTCTGTCCCTACCTGCGTGGACGGCTGAAAGACCACTGTTCCTCTTACTGTTTCTTCAGTCTGCATTCCATTCCCCTAGCTGAAACCTCTCCCAAGCTGCAGCTCCACTTCCACTTCCTCCAAGAGGCCTTCACAATTAACCTCTCTCCTCTACATCTCCTTAACACTGTTGTGTATACTGCTCTTGTCCCACTCATAATTCCCCGTACCTATCGATTCCCCACTCCAGGGTAAAGATGGGGCTTCATTCTTCTCTGTACTCCCACAGCTCCTAACACAGTGCCTTGTGCATAGAGGATGGTGGTTGTTTTTGTTAGGTGCTGTTGAGTCATTTCCGACTCATAGCGACCCCATGCACAGCAGAATGAAACACCACCCAATCCCACACCAGTTCCATGATCCCTGCTATACTTGAGCCCATCATCGCAGCCACCATGTCAATCTGTCTCGCTGAAGGCCTTCCCCTCTTTCGTCGACTCTCCACTTTACCAAGCATGACATCCTTCTCCAGGGCCTGGTACCTTCTGACAACATGACCAAAGTAGGTGAGATGAAGTCTAGCCATTCTCGCTTCCAAGGAGCATTCTGGCTGCACTTCCTCCAGGACAGATCTGTTAGTTCTTTTAGCAGTCCATGGTACTTTCAGTATTCTTCGCCAGCACCACAACTCAAAAGCATCAGCTCTTCTTCGGTCTTCCTTATTCATTGTCCAGCTCTCACATGCATATGAGGTGATTGAAAATACCATGGGGATGGTATTAATTCTTGTTAAATATAATTGAATCAAGAGTAATCTCTGAAGTTTCTAGGAACTTCTCTGTCACATTCACCTCATCCTTCTCGGGCTCCATTTCAGACTCATGCCAAGACAACATTATCAAATTCTTATCATTATCTGAGTGCCTTGTGCTGACCTCTGACCCTAGGGGAACCACCAGACTCTGCAAGCTG